TCCTACCTTTTGGGTGCAGAAGGGTGGCTTCCCTGCAATCCAGTGTGAAGATCTGGCTGAGGTAGTTGGGAGTTAGGAGCTTGCTCTCCTCTCCCACCCCCTCCTCTCTGCTAACCCACGCAGCGCCAATCATGCAGAAACAGATGGGGCGGTAGTTCCAGTTCCTGCAAGGTGCCTGCCGCGTTGTGTGCTATGCGGGGAGCAGGGATATGACATGTTCAAATCCCGCCCCCTCCACACAGTCCGCGGAATGATGCAGGAAGACTGGTCTGTGGGGAAGGTGCTGCCGTTCTGCCACGCTACAAGAAGTGACCGGCAGGAGAGGAGCGCTGTATGCTTCTCTCCTCCCTGTCACCCCGACATTTGCACCACTGGGCCAGTGCGCCCTAAGGCAGCCGCCTTTGCCGCCTTATGGTAGCGCCGGCCTTGTTCAAAGCTCAAGTGCTCAGTAGGAAGCAATAGAAACTGCAATGCTATTTGCTATTTCTTAAAAAGCATTATTTACTGGTGGAAATGCTATGCCAGGATGCACCGCCAGTAAAACATATCCTTTTTTTTTGTGTGTGTGTCATGGATCTAAATGTGAAAGTATAAAAAGTTATAAACATTAAGGAGCCTTTAAAATGACCACTGCAGGTGACTAGTGATCAACAAACTCCAGGGCACCCTGCCAAAATAAATCCATACAGTGCCACTAATTGTGATGGGATCCAAAGAAATAACAATAAAAAAATAAATCCTTAAAAAGGTAAGAGCATATTTTGGAGTTGGTTATGGGCTTTACTTGGGCTCTTCATGGGTCCAAATTATCACACAATGCCCAGGAAACTGGGTATCTGCTGGGGCCCTTTTATATTACATTCTAACCCACTGCCCACGGAATGCCCATTCACCGGCACCTCTTGGTTTTTAGGGGGGTTCCAGGGACCCACATTTTTTTAAATCTTACTTGGAGAGTGTGAGAAAGTCATTTGAGTCTTTATTATGATATGTAAAGGTGTTCCAGCCATTACCATATCTTTATTGTACTAAGAGTTGAGCGAACCCGAACTCTAAAGTTCGGGTTCATACCGAACATTAAGTTTTTTGGACCCCGGACCCGAACACGGACATATCACTGTATGTTCGGGTTGGAGTTCGGTGTTCAGCGACTTAATGTTGCGTTTTCAAAGGCTGCAGGGCAGCCAATCAACAAGCATTTGACTTGTGTGCCCTTAGAAGCCATCACAGCCATGCCTACTAATGGCTGTGATTGGCCAGTGCAGCATGTGACCCAGCCTCTATATACAGGGAGTGCAGAATTATTAGGCAAGTTGTATTTTTGAGGATTAATTTTATTATTGAACAACAACCATGTTCTCAATGAACCCAAAAAACTCATTAATATCAAAGCTGAATATTTTTGGAAGTAGTTTTTAGTTTGTTTTTAGTTATAGCTATGTTAGGGGGATATCTGTGTGTGCAAGTGACTATTACTGTGCATAATTATTAGGCAACTTAACAAAAAACAAATATATACCCATTTCAATTATTTATTATTACCAGTGAAACCAATATAACATCTCAACATTCACAAATATACATTTCTGACATTCAAAAACAAAACAAAAACAAATCAGTGACCAATATAGCCACCTTTCTTTGCAAGGACACTCAAAAGCCTGCCATCCATGGATTCTGTCAGTGTTTTGATCTGTTCACCATCAACATTGCGTGCAGCAGCAACCACAGCCTCCCAGACACTGTTCAGAGAGGTGTACTGTTTTCCCTCCTTGTAAATCTCACATTTGATGATGGACCACAGGTTCTCAATGGGGTTCAGATCAGGTGAACAAGGAGGCCATGTCATTAGATTTTCTTCTTTTATACCCTTTCTTGCCAGCCACGCTGTGGAGTACTTGGACGCGTGTGATGGAGCATTGTCCTGCATGAAAATCATGTTTTTCTTGAAGGATGCAGACTTCTTCCTGTACCACTGCTTGAAGAAGGTGTCTTCCAGGAACTGGCAGTAGGACTGGGAGTTGAGCTTGACTCCATCCTCAACCCGAAAAGGCCCCACAAGCTCATCTTTGATGATACCAGCCCAAACCAGTACTCCACCTCCACCTTGCTGGCGTCTGAGTCGGACTGGAGCTCTCTGCCCTTTACCAATCCAGCCACGGGCCCATCCATCTGGCCCATCAAGACTCACTCTCATTTCATCAGTCCATAAAACCTTAGAAAAATCAGTCTTGAGATATTTCTTGGCCCAGTCTTGACGTTTCAGCTTGTGTGTCTTGTTCAGTGGTGGTCGTCTTTCAGCCTTTCTTACCTTGGCCATGTCTCTGAGTATTGCACACCTTGTGCTTTTGGGCACTCCAGTGATGTTGCAGCTCTGAAATATGGCCAAACTGGTGGCAAGTGGCATCGTGGCAGCTGCACGCTTGACTTTTCTCAGTTCATGGGCAGTTATTTTGCGCCTTGGTTTTTCCACACGCTTCTTGCGACCCTGTTGACTATTTTGAATGAAACGCTTGATTGTTCGATGATCACGCTTCAGAAGCTTTGCAATTTTAAGAGTGCTGCATCCCTCTGCAAGATATCTCACTATTTTTGACTTTTCTGAGCCTGTCAAGTCCTTCTTTTGACCCATTTTGCCAAAGGAAAGGAAGTTGCCTAATAATTATGCACACCTGATATAGGGTGTTGATGTCATTAGACCACACCCCTTCTCATTATAGAGATGCACATCACCTAATATGCTTAATTGGTAGTAGGCTTTCGAGCCTATACAGCTTGGAGTAAGACAACATGCATAAAGAGGATGATGTGGTCAAAATACTCATTTGCCTAATAATTCTGCACTCCCTGTATAAGCTGGAGTCGCATAGCGCCGCATGGTCTTATTAGTGTAGGGAGAGGATGCTGCCGCTGTGAGGGACAGCTTAGGAAAGAATTCTGCAAACTAGTAAATTAGTGGGGTGCACTTCATATATGAGAGTCAAATAGAAGCTTCAAATACCGTGGTTACATCAGAGTTTTAAAAAGTAAAATTTTTTGGGTGCTAAATAGTACATTAGTGCGATAGTACATTAGTGGGGTGCACTTCATATCTGAGAGTCAAATAGAAGCATCAAATACTGCTGTCACATTGCAGTTTTAAAACTTAAAATTTTGTGGGTGCCAAACTGCTAAATAGTATTTTAGTGGGGTGCACTTCTTATCTGAGAGTCAAACAGAAGCGTCAAATAGTGTGCTTACAGCGCAGTTGTAAAAATTCTAATTGTTTTGCTGCTAATCTGCTAAATAGTACATTTTGCGGCCTGCACTTCATATATGAGAGTCAAATAGAAGTGTCAAATACTGCGGTTACAGCGCAGTTGTAAACATTCTAATTGTTTTGCTGCTAATCTGCTAAATATTTTGAGGGCTGCTCTTCATATCTGAGAGTCAAATAGAAGCGTTTAATAGTGTGCTTACAGCGCAGTTGGAAAAATTCTAATTGTTTTGCTGCTAATGTGCTAAATAGTACATTTGCGGCCTGCGGTGCACTTCATATCTGAGAGTCAAATAGTGCGCTTACTGCGCAGTTGTAAACATTCTAATTGTTTTGCTGCTAATCTGCTGCTTACATTGGAGTTTTAAAAAGTCAATTTTTTTATTATTATTTTTTTGGTGCTAAATAGTATATTTGGGGTGTTCACTTCATATCTGAGAGTCAAATCGAAGCGTCTAATAGTGTGCTTACAGCACAGTGGTAAACATTCTTATTTTCTGGGTGCTAATCTGCTAAATAGTACATTTTGGGGGCTGCTCTTCATATCTGAGAGTCAAATAGAAGCGTAACTTTGATTCAAATTTACTACATCGGTCACTGGTAATATTGTTTCACACCTACAACACTTGTTGCACAGATCTAAGTGATAGAAAACAGATTTATATTTTCAACACTAGAAACTACGAGATAACAAGCTGCTATATACAGTTATCAATAGCTAAGAGGTACTTAAACAATATTGTAATTCTGGGGCAATACCCTCACAAGTCAAACTGAGAGGTCAGTTTATAGGGAAAACTGTTGCCTGGATACAATTCTAAACCAATTTTCATATGTCCTTTGCAGACTTTACATGCTGGAAAAACACAGGTGCCAACTGCTGAGGCTATCTGCAGTGTGCATACCGGCAAGGAGGGTAGGATTGAGGAGTGGGTGGAAGATAATGTGGAGGATGATGAGGTCCTAGACCCCACATGGAATCAAGGTCATGCGAGTGATGTGTGCAGTTTGGAGGAAGAGGCGCTGGTCGCACATAGGCACCAGCACAGCATAAGAGGGAGCAGGGTGCCAAAGTGGAGCGGCCGTCCCCTAGCGCTTGTCGGCATGTATTAGCTCGAGAATTACCAGTTATCCAAGTAATACATGTAGCGATTAAAGGATCCATAATAGAGTGGAGCGATTTAACAATATACCAGATTTAACGATCCATTCGTAGTTTCACAGTCAGGTGAACAGGACCAAGACACTGTCTGGGCGGCGGTCGGACGACCGGGACACAGTATGCCTGATGTTGAAGTTAGGAGTCACAGTGTTGAATGGATTAGCAGTGTTGGGTGCAGGGTAACCGCATGCCCCCCTGGTGTTGAGCACCAGCGTTTGTGCAGCCACATACCAGGACCCTGATGCAGCTTCAGTAAAAAGAGTACTGGATACCAGAAGCCATCATCAGACTGATCTGCAACTTGGAACAGGATGTGACATTTACTGTAGCGGCTGTGCGCGCTTTTGGCATTCTCACCCTGTTGCTGCTCACCTGTCTGCGCTGCAGCATAACTTCGGCCTTCCCGCTCACCGCCTCATGAGACTGTGTGAGCAGCAGCAGGTAATAGTGGAGTTTCAGCTGCAGCACGCATGGGTCAGTGGCTCTGCACCAGACTTCCCTCCAATTGATCAGAGTTAAAGGATTTCAAGTGGACTCATTACAATTACAGAGCCTCTAAAGAGTCCTGTATTGTTATTTGTCATCACTACCTTCCCGCATCGGGAGTGGGTAATTTGCGCGCCTGCTGCCTTCCTTGCATGTGGTAGCCGTTTCTCAGGGTCCCTGTATGGAATGGAACCCTGATTCCCCGTTAGCCGTGGTCACCATGGTAGGCGCAGAAACTGGCATCGAAAGTTGATATGTATGACATCTGAATGCAAAGTCGCCACCACGGGGATGTGCGATTGGCCCGAGGTTCTCTAGAGTCAGCAAAGTGCCTGCGCAACTATAATGTCAACAGCTACTCTGCGGAAGAGAGTTGTCCCAATATTTTGTGGGCTACCACAATTAAATTAAAAAAAAACCATAAGAAACAGTGTTGACTACCTCATCCTCCTCCTCCACCGCTGCTTCCATCTACACCGCCACGGTCACCGCCTCCTCAACCTATGATTCACTTAGTACAAACTATGTACACAATAGCAGAGGCTTGTGAAGGCCTTTTCTCCAGGCATCAGGAGTTGAGCATTTCTCCATGCATCAGGACTGCAAAAAATGCACCGCACACTGCAAATGTTTCTTTTTTTGTATGTCCTAATATTTTGTGGGCTACCACAATAAAAAAAAAAAAAAACTGTGTTGGCTACCTCATCCTCCTCCTCCAATGCTGCTTCCACCTACACCGCCACGGTCATTGCCTCCTCAACCTGTGTGTCACTTAGTATAAACTCTGTACACAATAGCAGAGGCTTGTGAAGGCCTTTTCTCCATGCATCAGGAGTTGAGCTCAGTTTGAACAATGAAAGAGAATACCTGGCACTCCAACCCTCTCTCAAATGGATAATTCTGGTGATCCTCCTGACAGCCATGCTTTAGATTTTGATTTATTTTCTTCCAAAGCTAAAATCAAAGATTCCATCTAGTGCTATTTTATGGCTCAGCTGTATTTTTTATTTTTATGCTATTTTAAGTGATTTCCCTATCCACATTTGTTTGCAGGGCACTTGTCCTACTCTTACCCCCATGTTACTTCCTTTTGCAGCCCTTTCCAGGAGTTTTTAGAGGCATTTTTATGCCCAAAAGTTCGGGTCCCCATTGACTTCAATAGGGTTCGGGTTCGGGGTCAAGTTCGAGCACGAACCCGGACTTTTTTTCAAAGTTCGGCCGAACCCGCCGGACCCAAACATTCTGGTGTCCGCTCAACTCTAATTGTACTGTGTTTTTGTTGCAGTAATTGACAGCTTTAAACCTGTTATTTCCCTAGCTTCATGCTTGTTTAGTACTTACACTAGGGGAAAAGATACATTGGCTGAGCTTTGTTACACTCGGAAGTCAGCCTGTGATCTTCAAACTAACTTCCAAGAGTAACAGATTTTGGCAATAGAGTAGCTCTTTACATCACCTAGTAAATCAATGTGATCTGCAATATTTTCAGCCATTTCTAACAGTGGGAGCAAAGAATGCAAGAGTTTGTAGCATTGTTGCATTCAGTAGCTAAACATTCTAAACAAATAGCCCTTGCTGACATTATACTAGTGCAAGCATACACCTATACAGTGTTGAAGTGTTGCCTGAAAACTCTAAGCCTCACAGGTATCTTTATAGATCTAATGGGAATACTGTATTTTATATTGTTATAGAAAGGCTTATGCACATTTGGGAGATGCTGTCACAACGGCTCGAATGCAGATTACAAAAAAAACAACAAAAATAGGGTTTTTGGAAAATCAATTTTCATAAGAAACATAGAAACCTAGAATGTGACGGCAGATAAGAACCATTCGGCCCCTCTAGTCTGCCCAATTTTCTAAATACTTTCATTAGTCCCTAGCCTTATCTTATAGTTAGGATAGCCTTATGCCTATCCCACGCATGCTTAAACTCCTTTACTGTGTTAACCTCTACCACTTCAGCTGGAAGGCTATTCCATGCATCCACTACCCTCTCAGTAAAGTAATACTTCCTGATATTATTTTTAAACCTTTGTCCCTCTAATTTAAGACTATGTCCTCTTGTTTTGGTAGTTTTTCTTCTTTTAAATATAGTCTCCTCCTTTACTGTGTTGATTCCCTTTATATATTTAAAAGTTTCTATCATATCCCCCCTCTTTCGTCTTTCCTCCAAGCTATACATGTTAAGATCCTTTAACCTTTCCTGGTAAGTTTTATCCCGCAATGCATGAACCAGTTTAGTAGCCCTTCTCTGAACCCTCTCTAAGGTATCAATATCCTTCTGAAGATACGGTCTGCAGTACTGTGTAAAATACTCCAAGTGAGGTCTCACCAGTGTTCTGTACAATGGCATGAGCACTTTCCTCTTTCTACTGCTAATACCTCTCCCTATACAACCAAGCATTCTGCTAGCATTTCCTGCTGCTCTATTACATTGTCTGCCTACCTTTAACTCATCATTCAAATAATCACCTCTAAATCCCTTTCCTCATAAGTCTCTGTGTGCAAGGATATATGGATAAGGGTCCTCCTGCGCTATGGGCAGAAGTTGTTATGGTGCATAAAGAATTACGTTAAACATTTTGCTTTTAACAGTCAAGTATCTTTTTCATGCTACTCCCCGCATGTTCCCGAGATCCATTAACTATTGTTCACCTTAATAGGTAACAAAATGTATTTGTGAAACCTCAAAGGCTATTATTTCCCTCTGATTTGTATTCTCTTGCGTCAATTTGCTGCATCTTAATTGGATTACGGAGATCGTATTACTACCTGAGGTTATTGATAGACTGTTAGACAATCTTAAGGCGTTTGATTAATAGCTTTGTCGTGTTTTTCTTTTTTGCAGTTGTTTTTGTTTGTTGATTTTACTTTTTTTTTTTTAAATGGAAGTGACTTTAAGGTTGCGTATTGCATCTTCTCATGTGTCATTTTGTCAATATCACACTCAGGAACTCTAACAGTCTGCGGAGGTAGCTTCAAGTTAGATCTTGCAATTTCCAGGGTTGAGTAGAACTATTCAGAAAAATACAGTTCTAAGAAGGAAAGAGTTGCCTTGTCTATGTGAACTATAACGTTGTATCAAAAAGAGTGTGTGCTGTTTTTTATTCTCTCAATCTGAGTCCAAGACTTCTTGCTATCTTTCATCTGTGACATATATAAGTACCATTAAACCACCAGGAGATGGTGCAATCAGTCTGACAGCATGATACTTCTTGGATGAGAACACACAAAAGGCTTCGGTTTTTAAACATATTTACAGTTTTAAGAAGTGCCTGTCGTGGCATTGTCACTTTGATCTAGCACTTCAGCTGATAGTTTGAAGACTTTCTTATTGCTTATTGCTGCCATATGTTTTGACGATAGATATTGCCATTTTTTTTTGTCTTTTCTTTCCAAACGAAAACGACAGGGATACTGCTATTTCCTATATTCATTTTCTATAGAAGGAAGTATTTGGGATACTTATTATAGTCTGAATATTTCTCTGAATTGCAAAGTATGGGAGAAATTCCCATGTTTTACAAACATTTTAAGTCATTTGAGTAACTGAAATATCTGTAACATCGTACCGTCCTTATTACACCCCTTGGGTCTTGCCCCCTCCCTCACCATAAAAAGGGTTTCTTCTCTTTGCACTTTAATTAATAGCCTTAACCCAACTTTAATTTACATATTACAATTCTTAATCTGCTTGACGTCATCCGTTATCAGTCAATGATATCACCAGGGCTTCTGTTGCCCCCTCCTCTTGTATAATTCCTATTAATTTTTATCAGATCGCTTATTTACACTTTAGATTGTAAGATCACATGTAGGTCTTATATATAACACTATACTTTATAGCACTGTGTATAAAAGGCTACAAATGTTATATTAGAGCCCACTCTCAGGACTTTCTGCTCCTTTTGTACCAGTATGTTATTTTATTATTATATATTCCTGTGACTGTAATAATACATGTGATCAATTGTTTTAATTTTATAAAGCGTTCTAGACAAGAGCACTATCTAAGAAATGATAAATAAATGATGAAGAAATATAATGATAGGGATTGGACCACATAGGCCTCCTCCAAAGTCAAAATAGCAGCAAATCCTAAAGAAGCAACCTAAGTTGTCTTGAAAGCTTGCAATCTAATATAACACACATTAGCCAAGTAAGGTATCTTACCCTTATTATTGCTACTGATATTTTCTTGGCTAACACTGTACCAATATTGAAGAAGAAACAGACCAAAGGAAGGATCAGCACTAACTATCCAAACAAACGCTAAAAGAAAGAGGCAACAGACCCAAAAAAATGTGTAAAGAAAGGCTGCGCCACAAATATGCACTTGAACCAACTATAATAAAAACACCGTAAGATGATATATAAAACAATATATATCAATAGTCCAAAGTCTTATGAATTTAAAATGCCACTGGAATTTGAGCACAGCAGGAGTTCCCAGATGAACAGTCTGTTGTTGTAAAAAGAAATACGGTAGATGTCGGATATCTTAATGGAGTCCATATATATATATATATATATAAAACAAAAAGAACATGTAAAGTTATCCATTGGTACAGTATGTCAATATATGTAGAGTCAGTGCAGTATAGTAACAAAGGCTTGCTCACATTAGATAGAGCTATAACCAGCTCTGGTTTGTACAGCATTTATTGGAATTTCATTGGATTTGTACCAGTGAGTGTTGTACAAACCAGAGATGGTTATAGCTCCATCTTATGTGAGTAAGCCATCATTACTGTACTGCACCTGTGGCTACGACTTGCTGGCCAGCCACCTCAGCTGGCTGCCACAGCATCTTACTAGTATGTTTGCCATCATGTGGGAATTCCAGCCAGCATGCCTGAGGGTAAAGGAGGTGTGACCTGTGGTGGAGCAGGGACAATAAAGGGGCATCCACAATTACCTTAAAGACCCAAAGCAACCGGCAAGAGAGAGCTGGTCATGTGACACATCAGCTATTTAAATCTCCCCAGTGACTGCTTGATTTTTGTGTAACCTCTGGCTGTCCCCTTCTGGACTCTGGCCCAAAAGGGAGGATCTGAAGAGAGCAAGTTGCAATAAATTAATTTCATTTGCAATGGTTAAAATTGTATATAAACGATTGCAGAGTATGGCTGCATACCCAGGCAATCGTGTATACACATAACGACATGAAGGGGTTAACACCAATTTTGTGTAACAAGTAATAATAATACAAACATTGTATTAGGGGTACCTCAGTATATTCTGCTGAAACTTTTGTGGCGTTAGCCTCCAGAAGCAATGAGAGTAGAAAAGGTAGATATCGATGAGTTAATCCTAAAAAAAATTCAAAAACCAAGTATTTTGAAAAATGTAAAAAAAAAAAAGAGAAAACTTCCTTCATGATTTAATTTAAAAGAACTCTATGCAAGGCATCATCTTATTATTTTTTTTATATTTTTCTCCTAATCCACAAAATATATCTTTCGA